TGTTGCTTTGACAGAAAAGATTTATACATTGCTAACTGAATGGGGGATTGAAAAGAAACTATTTTCAATTACTCTAGACAATGCTTCTTCAAAATGTTCATTTGTTGAATTGTTGAAATCTCAACTCAATTTGAATGATGCTTTATTAAGTGGTGGGGAGTTTTTTCACATTCGTTGTTGTGCACATATCTTAAATTTGATAGTGCAAGAGGGGTTAAAAGAGGTTGATGAATCTATCATAAAGATTCGTGAGAGTGTTAAATATGTCAAAGGTTCTCAAATGAGGAAACAAAAATTCTTGGAATGTGTCTCTCATGTTTCTTTAGAATGTAAAAGAGGGTTAAGGCAAGATGTTCCTACAAGATGGAATGCGACATATCTTATGCTTGAGTCTGCCATTTATTATCATCGGGCTTTTTGTCATTTGCAGTTGAGTGATTCAAATTACAAGTTCTGCCCATCTTAAGAGGAGTGGAGTAGGATAGAAAAGATTTACAAGTTCTTGACTGTTTTTTATGATGTTACAAACATCTTTTCTGGATCCCCTACAGCAAACTTGTATTTTCCATCTGTGTTTTCGGTTCAATTGACATTGCGAGAGGAAATGGATAATAAGGATCAGTTTATGAGCAAGATGGTAACTCATATGTATTCAAAGTTTGCAAAGTATTGGTCTGATTATAGCATGATCCTTGCTATTGCTGTGATTTTAGATCCTAGATACAAGCTTGGGTTTGTTATTTTTAGCTATAACAAGCTTAATGGTGATAACAACATTGAGAGCACACTAGTTCGTGATGCATTGTTTAACCTTTTTAATCAATATTTGTTGAATTCTCCTATGGCTTGTACCACCAAATCTACATCTTCACCAAATGACGAAAGTGGGAATCGGCAAGTTGATGAGGGACAGTTAACTAAAAAGTTCATTGATGTTATGAAGGTGAATAATACTTTTGTGAGATATTAAATTCATTTAATGCCTATTTTATTCAGTACATCTATTTATTTTTCTACATTTACCATTGATTAATCTATTTGTTTTCCTTAATTACTGTAATGTAGGAATTTGACTCATTTGAGAATGATAAACTGCTTGGAAATGCCCAAAAATCAGAGTTGGAACTCTATTTAGATGAACCAAAAATCAATAGGAATGCGAACCTTGACGTGCTTACCTATTGGAAAGCCAATCAGCTTAGGTATCCAGTGCTTGCTCAAATGGCTCGTGATATATTGAGCATTCCAATCACTACAGTTGCTTCTGAGTCTGCGTTTAATGTTGGTGGTCGGGTTCTTGATCAATATCGTAGTACACTTAAACCAGAAAATGTGGAGGCTTTGGTATGCACAAGGAATTGGCTTTTTGGTTTGAAAGGTAAATAACTTATAATAAATTTCAAATTATATTTTTATTATTGTAGAAAATAGTGAAGTAATAAATTTTTTGTGTATGTTTTACTATAGATACAATGAAGCTTCAAGTGGATGACTTGATTGATAATGTGATGAAACTTAATATCAACAATGATGACCCTGTTGAAGGCCAATGTTCCACCAGTGTTAGCGTGACCGAATATTAAAATCCAGCTAGGTAAAAAAGCCCTCTACATTTGTTTTATTTTTCACATAATTTGTTATATGCAATCTTTTATATTTCAATCTGTTTTTTTTTTTAATTATTATTATCTAAACTTATTTTACACTTACCTATTTTGTAGGAATTTCTACTTTTGGGTGTTTCAGAAAAGAGTGCATGCAAATTCCAGAAGGAAGTTTTTGAGTTGTGGATTTTTGGCTTTTAAGAAGATTGCATGTTACTTGACATTTCTATTAAATATTTTTATTTCGGTCTGTAATAACTTATGACTTATCTTTATTTCAATTTGTAAGTCATGACTTGTGACTTAATCTTTATCTTTGGCATTTAATCTCTCTTTTGGATGTTTGCTAGTATTTTAATCTTTGGGCCTTAGCCACTTTAAACAGGTTAAACGGGTTAAACATGTTAAATGGGTTAAACGAGTTAAAGAGGTTAAATGGTAAACATGTTAAACAGGTCGTTAAACAGGTCATGTTTGGTGTGTCTAACACGACTCGTTTATTAAACGGGTTACACGTGTCGTGTCGTGTTACCCGTTTAATAAACATGTCGTGTTCGGTGTTTAGGATATGTGACACGATTATTAATCGTGTCGTGTTCGGGTTAACCTGTTTAGTGTTATACCCCTACTTCGACACGACACGATTATGACACGCGAACCCGAATTGCCACCCCTACCCAAAATGTCGAACTTTTCTTCTCCTCAGTTTTCTCAGCAGCCGAACAGAGGCTCCAAAATCAAAATATGAAATAAATAATCAGAATAATAACGATATTAATCCTTTCAAACAGAAAAATCTCACCTTTCCAGAACCCCCAGAAAGCCGGCGATTACCGTGGTGGGAACCCGATTATCAAGATTTAACACAGCGGCAACAGATGCTCCGGCGTCTTGGGGTTCGTAGTTGGGGGAAGAGGACATGGCTCTGCAATTTGAGAGATGGAATTGGAATTCTGTGGAAACGAGAGAGTGAAGTGTTCTCAGGAACTTTGAGATACTGGGAGTGTCATTGCAACGACTATGATGGAGAGTTTGGTAAAGGTTTTGGGTTATCGTTCTCGAAAACAAGAAACTTGTGGCCATTGCAGAAAAAGTTCGTGAAATGTAGCGAATGGGGGTTTGTTTGGAGAGTGAGAAAGTGGGGAGCTAAAAAGCTAAAACCCTCTAGAATGGTGGTTTATATGGTTAAAGAGTTTAAACCCAAGTAATAGACCTAGAACTAATTTGGATACCGGTTACTATGGAAGGAGGGGGTCATATATAACAGTAGTGCGATATTATTAAGTCCCAAATCCACAACGCATTTGATTGCATTTATGCATTTCTAGACATTCTCCTCCATCCAACTATTTGCTCGTTATTATATCATAAGAGTTTTTAATTTTTAAAGTATTGATACTTGTGTTGATTTGTTGTAGTGAATTATTTATGAAAAGGAAAGGTCACATATAATAGTTATGGGTTATTTATGCACACTACAGATTTGGAATGAGAAATTGTCATCCCGTTCAATTCAATTGGGATGCCTATTCAATCCCATTGGGGATGTCCCGGATCTGACATGTCTCTTGGGAGGAGTAACATGAAGCTTAGAATTATAGGCCTATTCAATACTTCCAAATAGAAAGGAAATTGACATATGATCTATTTTATAACAAATAAATAGGAATTTCTAGTTGTTCCCGATAAAAAAAGACTTTTTTCTTTTATGAAATTAATCATTTTCTTTCTTTTCGAAAGAAATTATGTTTCTGTTCAAGTAAACAAATATGTCATGTCATGGTTATAGGAGTTTATCCATCGCATAATTGTCGAGGTGAAGTCGGGACCTAAAAGATCGAATAGAACTATACATAGACAAAAAAATCCTCTATGAATTCCAAAATGCTCCTTTAATTTTAATTGAGGGGATTCATTATTTGAAGAAAAGTAGACTACTCAAGAATTTCACATTTCATTCTCTTATTTATTACATAGATGAATCAATTAAAATAAATAAGTATTATAATTTACTGCAACAAATTGGTTGAAGGATTACTTTCCTTTTAGTAATTTTAACTTCAAATTATAACTATTAATGCTTTAAAAATAAATAAATAAATAATTCATCATTTGACCGAAAGGAAGTAAGGAGGGTGGCCTGCATCTTTTTATCTCTCCGCAAATAGATGGAAGGGAAAGGACAGAAAAAAATAAAAATAAAAAACTACTTTATAAATATAAAATAATATTTTACCATATAATTATTTTAAATAAAAATATATATTGCATCAGCCATCAATTTAATTGCCTGTTTCAGTCAACCAAGCCAAAAGGGTATTATTGAGTAAAGTTCGCTCAAATTTTAAGTAGGGGTGCATATGGTTCGGTTTGAACCGGTTTATGAATTTTTTGGAACCAAACTAATTCTAATGAATTCATAAAATTTGGAACTGAACTGAACCATTTGATCAAAGAAACCAAACCAAACCAAATCGTAAAAAACCGGTTTGGTTCGATTCAGTTTCACGGTTCCTTTTTTATTTTTTTAATTTTTTTCCCCTTTCTTGTTACAGAAGTATTCATATTTCAAGATTCACATGCACAATTATAAACCAAGTTATCAACACAGCCAAAACTTTTAATATATTCAGAACTTTTAATTCATTCTTTTCTAGCACTTCTGAAACTGAAGTGAATAAATTCAGAATTACTAATAACCAAATACATTTAGAATTATTAATTCAACAACAAACAATCGGCCACAATTCAAAATTTAGCCACTAAAAAAAAAAAATTATCTAACAAATTGATAAGACCTAAGAAAATTAAGAATAGACCATAGATGTTACAAACTTCCAAGTAATTTGAATTGTAGAATTATATTATATTACATATACCGTATAATTTAACATATATATATGTAAATATATATATAACATAACGGTTCGGTTTGGTCTAGTTCGGTTCTAAATTATCTCAAACCGTGATCAAACCGTATCTTTGCGGTTTCACAAATTTAGAACCGTGACCAAACCAAACTGTCCGGCCTAGTTTGAATTTTCGATTTGACCAAATTTTTGTGCATCCCTAATTTTAAGTAATTTTATAATCAATCTAATTGTCTATTTTATTCAACCAAACAAAAAAGGTATTATTGAGTAAAGTTCAGTCAAATTTTAAGTAATTTTATAACGTGTTTTACCCTAGTCTATAATATGAACTTTTAGGAATGGAAAAAAACAATAGATCCTAGTTCAACTAAATGAAACTATTAGGAATGATAAAAAAACAATAGATTCGAGTTCTACTAATCTTTGATGATTTTAAGGTGGTTGAGCATTTGATCTATGTATTTGAATTTCAATGATAACATCGAGTGGTAAAAATTCTGAGTTCATTGACAGGAAACCACACTTCAATCTATGAAATATATGTTCAATTCGCAAAATTTTAATGTGTTCAACAATAGTCTTGACACGAGTTTAAATAACATTAAGATCCTCTACATACTCAACACACTACTTCGAAAACGCAACAACAATGCAAACACATTTACTTTGAGGATAAACATGGGAACATGTTTTTCTTGTTAAGCAGTATACAAGGTTAGGATTCCACCTCTTCCACATATTCTCACGAAAGGCACAATGCTCTAAGTTGGTATGTTGTCTGTTTGAATTACAACACTCTTCATTTGATCAACTTTGTGCTTAAATAACCAGGGTGCATTTTCTTTTGTCACACACACACTGCGAAAATGCAGTGTTTTTAGATGGTATGTGTTGCCTGAAGTTGCAACACTCTTTCATATTGTCGCCTTTCTGCTTATTATATATCTGCACCCCCATCACACCATATAGCACTCATCATCCTTGCTTCAATGGAATAGTCTTAAGCCTCTGAGTAGATTGTGGAATGAACACGCTGCTCATTAAAGTACATCGATCCGGCAGTATCTCTGGTGCATAATCTTCCATTTTTGACAGCAATGTCATTTCATTCAACACTTGGTATATATCTTTGGATTGAGGATGTGATTCATCTGCAACCAAAAACTCATGAACCATACCCTCCACCTCTATTGAGCTACGTCCAGGAGTTTTCTTAATACCCCTCTCTCTCATCATACTCCTAACCGTCCTCACATCAACCCATCTTCTGTCATTAGCACAAATACTTGCAAGGAGCACATAGATACCACTATCTTTAGGATTCAAGCGTAGAAGTTTTTCACCAGCAAGCTTACCCAGTTCAACATTCCCATGGATTCTACATGCATTCAGGAGAGCACCCCAAGCAACTTCATCGGGTTCCATTGGCATTTCTTTTATCAATTCATAAGCTGCATCAAGGAGACCAACTCGACCAAGTAAATCAATCATGCATGAATAATGTTCCAGTTTTGGCTTTAACCCGAAAACCTTCTCCATGTTTGTAAAATATTCCCAGCCTTGAGTAACCAATCCACCATGACTGCAAGCTGACAAGACACCTACAAACGTGATTTCATCAGGCTTGAATCCCATACTTTTCATTTGCTCAAAAAGGGTAAGGGCATTTCTAGCATGCCCATGAGAAGCGCATCCAACAATCATGGAATTCCAAGACACCAAATCTCTCTCCGGCATTTTATTAAAAAGCTCTGCAGCCGCATCAATCAACCCACATTTGGCATACAAGTCTATAAATGCATTAGCTAGAATTACACTAAGTTGAATCCTTTTTTTGTTAACATAATACTGATGAATCCATTGTCCCAAATCCAAGCACCCCGATTGAGCACAAGCAGAAAGTACAGATACCAAAGTGCTCTCTATAGGAACCAAACCAGCTTTCTCCATGTCATAAAAAAGTTCTATAGCTTCCTTTGGTTGATTGTTTTGTGAATATCCTGCAATCATTGCATTCCAAGACACCACATTTCTGTATGGCATTTCATCAAAAAACTTTCTTGCCAAATCTATCTCCCCATTTTTGGCATAACCATTGATCATGCTAGTCCATGAGAAAACATCCCTAGCTTTCATCGTGTCAAAAATCTCTCTGGCAGTGATCAAGCAACCACATTTTACATACATATCCAACATGGCATTCATCAAATTTAGACTAAATTTCACATTCATCTTTTCTACATACTCATGAACAAATTTCCCTAAACTTAAGTCCCCACTCTGAGAGCAAGCCGAAAGCACTGTGATCATAGTAACTTCATTAGGTTCAACACTACTTGACAGCATCAAGTCAAAGAGCCTCAAAGCCTCGTGTGGCATATTCTTCTGCGCGTACCCGTCAATCATTGTGGTCCAAGATACAACATCCCTCTCGGTAATTTCATCAAACAACAAACGCGCATGATTCAAACACCCACGATTTGCATAAAGATGAATCAACCCATTTTGCACAAGCAAATCAGAAACAAAACCCACCTTCCAAATTCGACAATGGACTGATTCGCTCACTTTGAATCCACAAAACAGCTCACACGCTTTGAGCGCAAAGACGAAGGTTCGGCTGTCCATTTCAACACATTCCCGAACCATTCTGCGAAAACAAGAGAAACCCATTTCAGGAAATTGAGCTTTGCAGTACCCCCTGATCATTGTATTCCATATATAAACATTGGGTTCTGGAATTTGGTTGAAGAGCACTTGTGCATGATCTATGTTGCCATTGTCGGAGAGTGCACAAAAAGATATCACTCGGCTTAGAGGAAAGAGGTGAAAAATAAGGCCAGTTCGAGTCATTTGTGCTTGAATTTGCTTCAATTCGAACATGGAATTGCACGACTCCATGATTAACAGAGTTGGGTTGGTGATCATGAAACTGCTCTGTGAGTTCCATTTTGGTTTTTGGGCAGAGGTCGAAGAGATTGATTTGAGGGGTTGGAACAGAGCTTGGGGTTTATAGAGAGAGAGAAAGCAGTTCAGTGACTTGAATTGAGCTATAAGAACGGGAAACATGTATCAGTAGAGAGAGATTGGATTACATGTGTATGCAGAGGCAAATCTAAGCGCATGAGATTCTGATTGACGAATCTAATAGTATGTGCGATCGTTTGACTTTATTTTTTTATTTTATTTTATTTTTTTGCTTTATTGAGAAAATTACGTGGATTTATAATTATTCCAGAGATATATATATATATATATATATATATATATATATATCTTTTTAAATTTAAATATAGTGCAATGCTTCACTTTATATAATAAGAGGGTATAGCTGTTTGTATCCCTTTGAATATTCTACAAAATTAATTATTTAGATTCTTATATTATTCTTACTTTTTAGAAAAGATCAAAAATATTTATCCAGTAAAATTTTATTCAGACCTCTTATCTTTTTTTAATGCAAATAAGAATAATTTGGGTGAACCAAAAATTAAAACATTAAAAAAAATTTATTCAGACCTCTTATTTTTTGTTTACCCAAATTATCCTTATTTGCATTAAAAAAAAGATAAGAGGTATATAAAAACTTTTATACTGTTCAAACTATAAAATAATACTTTATTATAATTATATTTTTAAAATTTTATCCAAACCAAATGCATATTAAAAAATTATTATTTTTTATTATTTACCTACTACGCTTTATTGCATTTCCACTTTTTACTGTTACAAAGAAAGAAAGAAAATTAAAACATTAGTCACTCTATACGCCAAGTGTTACACCCGATGGGAATTGAAAGGTGTATAAATGTGTAGGTACACTACGCAACAATGTAAGCTTTTTGGGTAAATGGGTAAACGCCCACCCATTATAGAGTCAAACACAGTCATTGATTCGGTGTTACACTAAGCGGCCGGTTCGGAGTGTGTTCGGGTCTGCTTCCCGAGTAGGCAGGGTAGCCTGACCGCAATGCGGACATTGCGCAAGTTCGGGTGAGGTAGAATGTTACAAGTAAGACTTATCCCATATCGGATCCAGATGAAAAAATTAAAAGGTATATAAATGGATGAGTATGCAGCATTACCCAACAACTTAAGCTTTTGAGTAAATGAGTAAGCGTCCACCCATAGGAATGGCAAATTTACCATCCCCGCTTGGTCCTGCCCCATTTAGGGCTGGTTTAGGGACCCTTTTATGCAAACTGGGATGGGGGTAATTTTTGAAAACCCGACGGGGATAGGGTAAACCCGCCCCGCCTAGCCTGTTTAAAGTATACATTTACTAAAATACCCTTATATATTATGATATATTACTATAATATATTAAGTATATATAAACATACTTCTAAAAATAAGAAAAATTATGTGTTAAGAAGAGAATAGTGTTTATTAAACGGGTGGGGATGGGGAATGGAGGATGGAGGCAGGGATGAGGATGAAAAAAAATTACCGGGGATGGGGAATGAGATCCCCCACCCCGCCCCATTGCCATCCCTACCCACCCGCTACACTAAGCATCATAGTTTTCAAGTTTCCACTTTCAATTGATATAATTTAAATGTTTATTACCAAAATACTTTGATTACAAAATCACCATGGCCGTTTCATTAATTCATCTAACAACCAGTGATCCAACAAGATTGCTTATGATCTCCAATGCTACTCAAAACCATTATAACACACAAATTCAATTATCACACAGCAGTCTCTCTCTTCACAAATCCAGCATTCACTTTTAGCTTTTTCACCAAATAGCCCATAATTATTTAAAAGCAATATGATTTTTCAGCAAATTGTGCTCAATGGAAGGGCCTGCTTATGATGCTCATATTGTAAATCTGATCCCATAATTTATTGCATCACTGTAGGTGCATCATGCAATGTAAAATACATGCTCAAATCCATACCTGTGTTTCACTTATGCAGTAAATTACAATATTGGTTCTGTGGGAAATTGAGCCGCTGCAAATTGGAGCGTATCGCTAATTCTGTAATATAACAGAGTTGCTATCGTCAGGAAGAAAACATTATCAACAATCTGAAAGAAAATCATCTAGAACACAAAAATTATCAACGTTTGCATGGTCTGAAATTATTCATTGCTGCATAATTTACAAAAGCATATTCTAGCTCCCCCTGTAATGTTATAATACAGTAAAAGGAATACTGGAACCTACCACTTTCCGATATATATATATATACTGGAACCTACCTTCAATTACAATACAAAAACCAGAAATCCTCCATTTAGCTGGTCATAAAATTAGAGAGGAGCATAAAAGGAGTCAGGTTTTCCTGGTCATGTAAACCTACTCTAATCACTTGTGATAACCCTATTGTCACATACATGGCATAGCCCTATTGTTGCTGATCATTGGATCCAACTATTCCTTGCATGGCCGTTCTATTGCCATCTGAACCTTCAAGTACTCTTCCTTCACCACCCATTTCATCATTGTGCTGATTTCGCCATCCTCCCTCTTGGTCCGTTGATTGCCCTTGCCAGAATTGATGCTCTCCACCATCTACTTCAAAGTAAATCCAAAAAGGAAAAGGAGAAAAAAAAAACATGGTACTCGTGATCGATAAAGCTAAATAACCTTTCACTGTACTCTAGAAAATTAACAAGGATATCACAACAATGGACCAAACACATTCATGTGTAGCATAATAATAAAAAAATAACTTGGTGAATGTAGAATTTTCAACTTTTAGGGAGGAAAAAGGGCAATTTATTATTCTACACGGCCTGTGGATTTTGTGCCTCATAAAATAATAACACGAAGAAAAAAAAAAACATGTAAAACAGACATCCAAGATTCCAGATAGTATGTACAATTATTGTTTTCTGCAGCAGTTGCAATTTATAAAAAATCACAAATCAATGGAAGAATAATCTTAATAATAGAGACAACAACTCCAGGCAAGTGCTTAAGCCATCCTATCATGATGGTAAAGGCATGTAGGGAGATGAATTCTTACTTGTGATAGCAATAGAAAAATGGGAGGAGAAAAAGATCAATGAAACTATTTGGGGCTCATATTTTCATATCTTAAAGTAGAACTCAAGAATTCAATTGACAAAATTATACAAAGCCGTTGTAAGTCATGTCTAGATATCCTTGTAATTAATAAGAAATACAATAAATTATCAAAAAAAAAAGAAAAAGAAAAAGAAAAAAAGAAATACAATATACAACAGAAAACAATGTGGTCATTTAATTTTGGGTAAATTACACCTAGACCCCCTGTGGTTAGGTCATATTACACCTATATAAACATTTTGGTTTTAGATTTCACTTATATTTGAATTAGTGATTTAGCATTTCACTTACACCCCAAATATCAATTTTCGATAGAGCCAGAGGACTTTTGAAGTGTTAAAGGACTATACTACCCTTTGACCTCATATTGATTATTTTTGTGACCAAACTACCCATTGCCCCCCGCCTCTATGTGAACCCTCCTCTTTTTCTCCCTACCTCTCTTTTTCTCCTCTCTCTCTCCCTTCTCACAAACCCTCACACACAGATACGCAAATACACACAAACCCTCCTGTCGGAACAATCGACTGTAGTCGGCGAAACCACACTCAATTCGGATTATAGGCTTAGCAAAACCCAGTTCTTCTCCGGCGATGAACGACAGAACTGAACTGACCTAGTTCCGGCGAGCTCCTAGTGTCGGCGAAACCAAACTCAATTCCGGCGAGTTCCAAGTAGCAAAACCCAGTTCATATCGGTGTGTTCCCAAGCGACGACAAAGCAACGACGAGCGTCTAGTCAGAGCAATCAGCGATGATGGCGTCGGATGTGGCTGTGGGTGGTGGAGCTGTGATGCGGCGGGCCGGCGGGGGTGGTATATGGTGTGGGTGATATATATATATGTGTGTGTGATTTGGTGGAAAGTGGGAAAGAAACCCTAAATCAAAGAAAGAAGACAAGGATTCAATGCCACCGAAGGCTTCGACATCATTGTCGTCTTCTCCACTGTCATTGCCATTTGATTTGACAAATCGTCGTCATTGGCGAATCGATCCCCTCCGTCTCTCCCGCCGCCATCGCAACCACTTACATCACGACCTCTTTCACCACCGCCGTGACTGTAGCTACACCTCTCCACACAAACACAGATACGTGACTGTAGCTACCTCATATCAATTTTCTCCCTTCTCACAAACCCTCCCGCCGGAGTACGAGATAATGATTTTTGCCGCCAATTACGACGCCATCGAGGTTGTAAGCTTGTAATCCGATGTCTCGTTGCCGAGATATATTGATTGGGCCACCGTAGATGTTGTAATCCAACACCCGCCGCCGACATCAACTTGCTCTTCAACGTTGTCTTCAACAATCGACTTCGCCTTCGATTCTTTGTCATTGACGTCCATTTCGGTAGTGAGTGGGATGGGATTTTGTGTATTTTTGGGTTTGGTTTTAGATGGGTGGTGGTGATGAGGTGTTGGGTGGGGGTGCAGTTTGGTTTTGGGTAGGTTGGTGGTGCAGGGAAGTGTTAGGGTGGGATGTTGGTGGTGATGGAGGTGTTAATGGTGGAAGCTGCTGGTGTTGAATATATATATATATATATATATATATATATATATATATATATATATATATATGGGCTTTTTTGTCATTTAAGATTATATATATATTGTATTAAAAAATTGAGGGTAAAATGGTCAATTTACATGTATCAGAAGTCAAAAAGTAAATTGGGGTGTAAATGAAAATTAAAACCAAAATCTTCATCTAGCTGAAAAATGACCTAACCTCAGGGAGTCTAAGTATAATTTACTCTTTAATTTTATACCATCCTGCAACAAACGTATATGTAGTCAGTTATTACCACTTTCACCATCAGAGGCATCTGCAAGCCTTGCAATCACATCAACTAGGGCTTGTTCATGCTCCTGCATTTGGAAGGACACGTCATAATAGTTACAACAAAAGATGGAGAACGAAAAATATCACAAGATACTTGGTTGTTCTTACTCTAAGGATTTTCTTTGCTTTCTCTATCTCAGCAGGATCAGGATAGCTTGCATTGATAACTTTCTCAACCTATTAAATTCATCACCACAGTAGTGGGAAAGCATGTCACTACTCCTGTATTATGAGATATGGATTTCAAATTGCACACATACCTCCTCAATTAAGGTATCAGTGTGAAGTATTTCAATATCACCCAAAGCCTTCTTTCCAATGCCATTTTGTGATGGAAATAATTCTTTCGTGGACAGAACATTAGACATCCCTCTACCTCTTCCGACACCAGCAACCGAACCACCCCGGCCCATAGACTTCTTAAATCTACGGCCACCTCTACGAGAAAGTCCATGACCCTCACCTTCCCACCGAATATCTTCATGATTTATCTAACATTAATAGATATGATAATCAGTCAAATGCAAAATGCTAACTATTTGATTATATAATAAAAATGGTTGCATTGCCACAAAAGAATAGGATAAATCAATTAACTCTTGCTTTTTATATTGACGTGAGGGTTTTGTGAAAGTTTGTGCTTGAGTCTACTTAGTGAAGAACTCTTATCTTGCCCAACTGCGACATAATAGGAAAATCAACCAGCTCTTGGTAGGTCTGAGTGTTCGTGGATTCATGAAAGTTTTATCTTTTAACTGTTTTCTCATATGAAGAGAAAACCCCTTTTGGTTTGTCAAAGTATGATTCAAAGTCTTTTCTATGGCGATTTTACTTGACGATGTCAGGGAAAAGATAGCACTGAGAAGGTCATTTCTGTATCACTTAAACTTTGACAATTTCTTGTTTCTAAAAACTTCTAAGGAAAAATCTAAAAGGAAAAATAGAAATATGGAGAAACACATCAAAATCTTAGGGTTCAAGTAAAAACAATCAATTAAATCACCACTCTTTCAACACAAACAAATGATTAGCACGATCTTGTACATCATTCTTAGTAGTACAACATTGTAAAGCACACATTCAGAGAAAAGATAGCACTGAGAGGTCATTTCTGCATCACTAGTTCATGTTGTTTCTAAAATCTTCCAAGGAAAATCTAGAAGTAAAAATAGAAAATGAAGAAACACATCAGAATCATAGGGTTCAAAAATTAGTAGAAGAAAAATAGTTTGGTAATGATAAACTTGCCGGGAAAAAATTTAGCAATGATATAAAGACATTGTAATTATAAAAAATTCAAGATCAAAGGGTTAACTGAATTAACCAATATTAGTCTTTAGGATTGTAGAATTTGAATTTATTTAATTAGGGTGAAGTCAAAGATTAAGGAGGAGGAGAGAGAATGAAGAAGAGTCGAAGAGAGAATTAGACAATTGGTGTGAGAGTGTTGATCTGTCCTTTCTCACCCTAATATCTTATATATAGACATAAGAATAAGCAAACAAGAAAAAAAAAAAAACTAGAATACCCCTGTGGGGTAAACCAATTACACATGTAGGATTGAAATTATTCTAACAAGGATCAATACTACAAAATAGAGATAGATGACAATATAATAAGTAGGATTGAAACAAGGTGAGCAAAGTGGAGAAGGTAAATTTTATAGGACAGCTATTAGATCACTATTTTATATGGAGTTGAATGCTAGGAATCGAAAAAGAAACAAAAATAACGCATTCATGTTGTTGAAATAAGAATATTGAGACAGATGGTAGGACTAACTAGAAAATACAAGATTCATGTTAGAGAAAATTAGATGCAAGCACTACCTGTTTGTAAAATAAGAGAAATTAGACTTAGATGGTATGGACATATAGCTATATAAAACAGAGACCAGGAAAATGCACCCTTAAAGAGAGGAACAATAGTTAGAATAGAAGGTACTAAAATGGGATGAGATAGTAAAAAAAGACTAAATAATTAGATGTAATTGAGACTTGGCTTACAATAGGAAAAAAAAAAAAAATTGAAAAAATGGCTAAATCAATCCAGATGAGATTAAGGCATGGGCGATGATGGTGATGATATTTTGCATTAAAAAGGTGGACGGTATTCCCTTGCCAACAAACTTTTAGGGATTGCTTAGCAAGTCAAAGTTAAAAGGACAAAGGCCATCGTTCCATTTATCCACTGTCAATGTAATAATTTACCAAAGAAAATGATATTGGTCATCGTGCTATAATGATAGCATGTGCAATGGTATAACAATTATAACCACGATATGAATTTATTAGAATTACGACAATAATGACTATGTCACTATACTGGTCACTATGTTATGATGATGATAATATGTGCAATGCCATAACAATATTAACCATGATATGAGTTTATTTGAATTACAACAATTATGACAATGTGACTATTAAAAAATAAAAAATAAAAAATAAAAAATAAAAGTAAGAATGACAATTTATTTAGATTCTAATATTGTTAAGAAGTTAAAGTTTTCCTTAGTAAACCTAAACTAGAGCCAACAAGTTCTTATCTATTCTCATTCTCATAATATGAGTTTATTTGAATTACAACAATTAATGGATTTGAGTAGTTTATGACAAGTGAATTCCATCTTGGCAGATACAAACAAAATCTATTTGAGACACACATAATATTAACATTGCTCCAATGTCTCGGGCATGAAACAAGAAGTCGCAAACTTCAAACCCATGAGCCTATCTTAGTTCTTGAACAAATTTAGATTACAATGTGGAGGACTACAAAAGACAAAAAGGGCCCAAAAAACAGAAACAAAACTTGAACAAATGGCCAAAGAAAAGGGTAACAAACACATAGTTTTTTACCATTGGGCTAATGACCCATTGATTACACACAATATGCATAGTTTTTCAAGATGAGTTAACCATAAAATTGAAAAGAATAATATGGGTCTTCTGTGGTTGAATTCTTGACCTTGTTTTGAGCCAATGGGCTGCTTGTAATCTTTTGTAGGGATGCTCTTTTGAGCTAACCTACCTGGGCCTACCACAGGCCCATTTTGTAATTACCTTATTTATTCTATTGCTTAAACTTCCGAAAAACAAAGTAAAATCCAAAGTGACTAAGATGTTATGCAGTCAAATTTAATTTTATATATATATATATATATATATATATCAAGGACCTGTTAGATAAAATGAAGGATGATGTTATGTGGGTCCAAAAAAAAAAATCAGAAGAACTAATAAGGCATAAAATAATACTTACAGAAAAACAAGCCTATAAACAAACATGCAGGTGGCATTCGCATAAAGCCATTACGAAAGATTCACAATAATTCAACAAAAATGGTAGAGAAATGATGCAACCATTTCCAAAAATTCCATATCTCAAAACATAACGATTTTGTCAAATTCTTTCGTACCAACTAAATATATTTCCGATAGTACAACTGTACAAGAAAATTTAATAAAGATGGAAGATATATCTATCTTTACCTCTTTGAGATTGACCCATTCCCACGTTTCATCCGCTGAATTAATATCATAAACCAGAGCATGACGGTCCTGCCAATGTTTGCAAAAACCAGTCAACACCCACTAAATACTGTAACATTGTGTAGTCAACAATGACACATACCTCAACAGGATTGTAGTCAGTTATTACAGCCTCATAGAAGTTATTGTCATCAGGCCATCTTGTCCAAACTTTCCTTCCAATTAGTGGATCAAAATTTGTTGCTTCAGCAGGTTCAATTACATCAAGAGAACCTGTACCCCGCTTTCGAACTTGGGGCCCTCCAGTGAAACCTGTAGAAGAATACTGCATGGACTTGATTCAGGACGCAGCATACGTCTAACTTGTTAACCAAAAACAGATGATAATGTAAAATATAGTTCACATCATTTCATTGTCATTATAGAAAACATTTAATTAACTTACTAATTTTGGCTTCTTGCCCCTTGCTCCTGAGAAAGGGCCTCGTTTTAAGGCTGCTGAAGAAGGCTGCATGGATGGATACAATGCCGGTGTTGGTGCACCCAACGATAAAGAAGCTACAGATTGTGATGTCTTCTGCTTCTTGCGCGATGCTGAAACAGTTGGACTAGGCATGGGTTCATGAATAGGTTGGCTACCATTGAGCATGCCAGGTTGGAGCCCATTTGCTTTTCTCCACCGCCTAATGATGAATTCCTATTAGAACAAGTAACTAACCAAACATGATGAGATATCTAGAGAACCATTCTCAGCAAAAGGACATGATATTATCAAACCTAATCCTCCTGATGACATTATCAGCATTAACCCCGGATAGAAGCTCTCTGTGTTCCTCATCAGACACTCTCAGCTCTTTTCTGAGTTCTGTAATCAAACTTTCTTTCTCCTAAAGAAGACATGAAGGGTGTTTAAACCTAATTAACATACTTTAGAAAAATTAAATATAACAAATTACACTGAAGAATAATAATATATACCCAAGTAATGGCATCAGATTGAGCTTTAAAGGCTCGCAAGACTGAACTATACGCTTCTTGCTCTATCTGGTGGATCTGGGTCTCCATATCACTATGCACCCAAGGGAGTGGAGCAGAACCTATAACTGCAGATCTTCCATTTGCAGCAGCACGACCTCTGCTTGGAAATCTATTTCGATTTGGAGGAAGGTCATCATCCGTGCCTGCAGTTAAATGAAGAGAAACCACAACACAATTAAATTCCTTTAATATTGCAGATGAAATTGATAAATTGTAGGGAAGGGAAATTTCTGCTGGCCTGCCAGATACATGATTGTTTTAAAATGGTCCATTAATTAAAAATTGAAAGGACTTGACTTATTTAAAAAGCAGCAGTAATTTTTTCATATTTGAAGTTCATGAATAGTACTGTTGCTTTCTGAAAAAATCCATATACATATGCGTGTGTGTGTGTGTGTGTGTGAGAGAGAGAGAGAGAGAACTTTGCAGTTAATTGAGCAGGTCATTTGTTGTTTATGTACCTCACAACAAGCTGGCAGGAAAACGTACGTATGCATCTTGAACAACTTAAATATCATAAAACTGCATGAGTAATGTTCACATTTGTTCTTTTGCAAGACATGACCACCACAATAGTAATGAATGCCAGAAAAAGGAAAAATTTCTTGGAAGTGATGGTAACTCTAACAAGTGATGGTAGATATCAGTGAGATTGATTTATCCACAATGGTGGCCAATGGATTTGTAATCATGATGCTTGATGGTTGATGTTGTTCATTAACATGTAGATTTTGTATTATTATTAGGCGCATCGCAGTTTATCCCTCTGAACACATAGTGGTCAATGGATTTGTAATCATGATGGTTGATATTATTCATTAACACGTAGATTTCATATTACTAGGAGGTACATCCCAGTATATTCCTCCTAACACCTCAAATTAGCTTACATAGTTGAAGTTGCAAATGGATATAACCTAATTCAATTATAAGAGCGACATAGAGTACAAACTAAATCATGTTCAATTATAAGATCAATGAGAGGTAATAAAGACCATTGCTTTGTGGTGTTTAGTTAACCTGGTGATAGATTTTATATGTTTCTTCTTCGTCTTGTATGCCTAGACATTCTCATATTCTCCAAATGTTTATATGCACTGTTATTTGAACTTAGAACACCACTTTTCAAAGTTTCCATTCAGAATTCTTCTTAGTATTTGATTTTTTTTTTTTTTTTTTTTGATAAGTTTCTTAGTATTTGATTTGTGATCTAACTAATCAATTTTAAAGATACAGTTGGTCAATGAATCAAATAATTTCTTTTATAGTCTTTCCTAGAATAACATTTTTCTAGCTTTTGGAAGTTGTGCCCTCTAGTAATCTATAAGGTAACGGATAACTCTAAATGTTTTTTTTTTATTTTTTATTTTTTATCATCAGATTCAATTGCCAGATGATATGAAGTTTTTTGCTACTATCTTCTCCTCCTGCCTTCCTAGATTTGGCATCTAACAGATTATTGTCCCCGGTTTCATTGGTGTTATAAATTTATGTTATTCAATTTTTTCCCCCTGATATCAATCCTCAAGTTCACCATGATTTCATTTGATTCCTCATCTACTTGATTTACATAAGCGAATGTGTTATTACATTGTTCAAAGTATTGGCATCCAAATAAATCGTTCAAGAACACTTCTCCAGTCAATGTGATATACAAACACAAGTGAAAACTCACTTTTGAGCTTGAGTTGCCTAATTTGAAATTTCGGTCCTAATTATCATCAATCGGAGCCCTAAACCCTAATTTTCTTCTCCGTAATTGACAAATTCATACTCATTGATTGAAAAAAAAAAAAAAATCTTACAAACCCATAAACTTGAAAAAACATGGGTTAAAGATGTGATCTTTAACGTACCACTGGTATCAGCAAGCTCGTAGTCCATGTGTTTATTCAAACCAGATATTCAGTTCGATTCATGAGTACTTGCAACAGAGACAACAAAATAAACCAAAAAATCTGCGATTTTTTTTCTCTTTAAGAATTACAAATAGGGTTAGGGTACTATCAATTGAAAGAAACAAGCATACAATTTATAAAATTAAAAAAAAAAAGGAAAAAGAAGAAGAAGAAAATGAAATTTTCATTACCAGGTTTTTCGTATCGTAGGGTTCCGAAGACGGAGAAAAAGAGGATGCGGAGTTGTGAATCACAGAGAAACCAAATCAGTACCCTCGGGTTCAGAAGAAGTAGATAAGATAAGGAAGAAGGAGAGAAACAGAGAGACAGAGGATCGATGGTGTGGCGTTGCTTCGGCGAGATTGGGTTGTCCACGGCGGTCCACGGCGTTTCTTGGATGATGAGAGCGAGAATTCTGTTGGCAAGATAGACCAATACGACGCCGTTGATTAAATTAATAGTAATAAAAAATAAAAAATAAAAAATACTCGCACTCGCACAAGACAACATTAGGCTAATTTTTTTCCGTCTCTCACCAATTATCTGTTTATGAGAAAAAAAAAACACTGTAAACCTTTATTTGATTGGCAATTTTGTGAAAATTATTTTCAAATTTCATTTTTGAAAAAGGCTGGTTTTGAATATTGATATAACAATTTTTTATAGTATTATGATAATAAATTTTGTATTTTTCACGTTATTAGAAAACGATTTTCAAAAAAATAAATCAAATAAAATGTGTTTTTGACAATTTTCACCTTGACTAAGATGTATTTTCATCAATATTCCCATAATTAAAAGCAAAAAAAGGTCGACTTACTAAAAATTGATAGTTAAGAATTATTTTTTTAATTTTTTTTGACATTTTTGCCTAATTCATATCTAATATATTTTTTCAATGAATTATCAAAGTTGGTCATGAAAGTATTCAATACCATGGGTATTTGCTTATGTGGTTCCGAGGCAAGGAAACTTTTCAACATACATATTAAACATTTGTGTTCAACCCGAAATATTGAATATCTTATTAAATTTTAGTATAAATTTTACTTACCTCCCCTACAATTTGTAAATATCCCACATAACCCTCTCTATGTTTTGTAATATTACTTACCTTTTCTGTCTATGACTGCCTCAAACTTGGCAAAATATACATTATCATATATGATTTGTAATTTTTTTTTTTTTTAATCTCCAGAATATCTCTAGCAGTTTGTTAAAATATTATTTTGTGTAAAATATACATGGTCACGTATGATGTGTTAATTTTTTTTTTATGTCCAACAGTCGGTTAAGATACACTGTCACGTCACCAAGATATAAAATTATTGTGTATTTTATATAACTTTTTTATATAGTCACATCAGCATATTACATTTCTCCTCACTCTTTTTTATTTTATTAACAAATTAACCATATTTAAATAGGTTTGTAAAAATTATGTAGGGTACATGCATGATACGTGGATATATTTTTACACAAAAAGTATAAAACAACCGCTGGAGCAAAAAATAAATAATCCAAATTTTTTGTATAAATCCATCAGATTTACACACACACAAAAAAAAAATATACACAATTGGAGATCCTCTTAAGATAAACTGTCACGTTACCAATACGTAAAATTGTTGTGTATTTTACACAACCTTTTTACACAACCACATCAACATATTTTCTTATTGCTCCCTCTTTCTCATTTTATTAAAAAATCAACCCTATATTAAGTAAGTTTGTAAAAATTATATGAGGTTCAAGTATGACACTAGTTGAATGTTATTGGGGAATATATTTTTACACAAAAGATTCTAAAAATAAATAATCCTAAATTATTCTCAGGTGAGGTATAAATGTATCCTAAATTTTTTTAAATCACTTTTTATTTATTTATTATAAGGTTAAGATTGGACTGCACTAGTTTCACATAGTCCAGACCATTTTGATAGTAATTATTTCATCGCAACACAATTTTAGAGTAATTGATTATCAGAAAGATCCAATCATCCAACCACTTCGTTTATTCATGCTCAACTATAAATAATTTTAGTTGATTGAAAAAAAAAATAAAAAAATAAAAAAAAATAAAATTCTAAAAACAATCCTAACCTGGCCCATTGGGCCTATAAACATGCAGATCCATAATGACCTTGGGCCTTCACCAGGCTATTATCACCGGGCCGGGTCATCGGCCCGACGATCGCCCATTTGATGAAGAAGAAGAAGAAGCTCTTACTGAGTTAGGTATTGATTGGGTATTGCAAAAGCAACATTTCATTGAATCATTTCCGAAGCTAAAACGATGCAGAGATGGTGCTCAAAGCTCCGATCACTGTCCCTCCTTCAGTCAACCCCCAAAACCCAACTTTCTCACTCATCTCCCAATCGTCTCCTCCACTCTTCTCCACTGTCTCTTCACAAACCACTCGCATCCACTGTAATTTCGCCCAACTTTCAGCTCCTTTTCAATGTCTCACAGCCTCCATGCTTCAGCCAAGCAGCCAATTGGTCTCCTCATCTCCCTCTATCTGTAAGTTGGGTTTGTCCCACATTTTGTTTTTGCTTGTTTGGTTGCTGAGAAAATGCAGGAAAAAGACAATTAGAAGTCTGAACATTTAATTGCTTTTTAATTAGAGAAATTTTTTCCTGGCAACTAAACTCTGTGTGAATTAGTAATTTTGGACATGTTGTGGTGTTCTATTCATTGTGGGTGTTTTTTTATTTTTTTTTTATTGATGCTAAGTTCATTCAATTAAAATGTTGGGAAAATGCAATGAAACTATTTTGAGTATTTAACTCCTTGGAAGAAAGATTAGAACTATTTATTCTGTTTTTTCAATAATCCTCTCTTCAAGGCAACCAAACAGTGTGTGGATTAGTGGTTTTTTATGTGGTGGTGTTCTGATTTTTATGGGTGCTTTTTCTCTGTACTTAGTTCATTCAATTGCCATAAAATGTTGGGGAAAATGAAGTAAAACTATTGAGCATATAACTCATTCCAACTAGGACTAAGACTATATATATTATTTTCCTATAATCATTTTTTTCTAGGCAAACAAAACAGTGTGGATTAGAGATTTTTATGCAGTGTTGTTAAACTTTTTATGGGTGCTTTTTCTTGGTACTAAGTTCATTTTAGTGCAATAAAATGCTGGAGAAAATGAAATAAAACTATTTGACTATTTGACTCATTTCAACTAAGATTAGATCTATTTATTTTATATTAATATGATCCTTTTTTCTCGGCAACTAAACATTGTGTGGATTAATGTTTTTTATGTGGTGGGGTTCTCCTCTTTATTTATTTATTTATTTATTTTTGTTGCTTAGTTCATTCAAGTGCGACATCTTACAAAGAGAGAGAAGAACTTGAAGATGAAGAAAATGTCACCAGTTGTTTCCAAGATAAAGAAAACCAAAATGAAATCGTATTCGTAGGTTCATGTCTTTGTGATCTTTGGATTATACACAAACTATTTATACATCACTGGATGCAAAAGAATTTATGGCGTTGAGTTTTCTTGATCAGATCTTATAAGGGCAGATTTAGGACAATGAATGATGGAACAATTCGGCGCTGGAAGGAGGGGAAACGTCACAATGCACATTTAAAGGTCTGCCTATATTTTATCATCTTACCATGTTAGTTATTAGATATTCTAATGCTGTAAAACCAATCAATAGGATACTTAAATATTCAATATACTAGAAATGAAGTTTAATGGAACTAATGGTTAAAGGAATTTGAGCATATTTTGTTTGTTGTAAAGTTGTGACGATCTTCTAAACAGGGGTATTGTAAAATATCAGTTTTAGTTTCTCTCAACATTGGCATGCCTCTGTGTAGAAACAACTTTCTTTTGGAATGTCTTATTTGCTTTCATTTTTATGTTTTACTTTGTCCCTTTTCCATTTTTTTTGTTTTTTTTTTTTTTTGATAAGTAAAATGTATTGAAAAGTGTTCAAAAGGGGACCGCATCCCAAGCTATACAAAAACTAAATGGAACCTATGAGCTCAAAGAGCCCATGAAGTCAACAATATCCTCAAGAGAAGAGTAGTCTCTCCCTTGACCCCAACAAAAAAGGGTACAAATAATAGAAAATTTTAGCACTCCAATGGAGGACTCCTTCCCATCAAAATATCCACCATTCCTCTCTTTCCAAAGGCTCCACCAAATGCAAAAAGGGGCCACCCTCCAGAAAACTCTCGCCTGAGCCCCCACCCATTTGCTCCTCTAAACATCCAACAACTCCCGAGAGGTCCGAGGCATGACCCAGTGAATACCAAACAAACCAAAGAGCAAACTCCAACAATCATGAGTCAGCAACAGAAGATGATCCACTGACTCCCCATTAGCCTTACAAAGACAACACTGATTAACAATGATATGTCTTCGCTTCCTCAAGTCGTCCAAAGTCAAAATCTTACTCTAGGCTACAGTCCACACAAAAAAAGCCACCCTAAGAGGCGCCTTAGACAACCACACCGTCTTCCAAGGGAATGAGGTGCCATGAAAACTAGAGAGGCACACAAAAAAGGATCGAACCTGGAACATCCCCTGAGGAGAAGGCACCCAAATCAAAGAGTCTGCACCAGTACCCTCTACCTCCTGTTTGTTGAGAAGAGCCAAAAACCCAGTGACATCATCTAACTCCCAATCCTGAAAAGCTCGCCGGAAGCGCCCATCCCAAGCCAACCTTCCGCTATCAAGGCGATAGCAGTCAGCAACCATAGCATGTTTGTCAACAGCAATCCTGAAGAGCCTGGGGAACAAAAGAGCCAATGGCCTATCCTCACACCATGAATCCTCCCAAAACCGGTCATTCCTTCCATCCCGAACTTTAAATCTAATATGTTTGGAAAAGACATCCCAACCCTTTCCAATGGCCCTCCACACCCCCACTCCACTAGCAAACCTGACTGGTCTAACTGACCACCCTCCTCTCTCCTCCCCAAAGCGACACGAAATAATCCATCTCCATAATCTGTGTCTTTCACTGCCAAATCTCCAAAGCCACTTACCAAGAAGAGCACTATTGAAAGGGGCCAATCTCCTAATTCCAAGCCCTCCCAACCAAAAAGGCCTGCAAACCTGCTCCCATTTGATAAGATGATACTTGAACTCCTCTCCGCGACCCCCTCACAAGAAGTTCCGTTGGAGCCTCTCAATTCTTCCAACAATAGAGACTGGAATCCGAAAGAGCGATAGAAAGTACGTTGGGAGGCTTGACAGAGTACTCTTCACTAACGTAACTTTACCACCCTTTGACAGATATTGCTTTTTCCAACCCGCTAATCTTCTCTCAACTCGCTCAATCATCAGGTTCCAACTTCCCACCCTCCTGGCCAAGTCCCCTAACGGCAAACCCAAATACGAGATAGGAAAGTGTTGCGTCCCACACCCTAAAACAGCAGCCAGAGTATCCACCTCCTGAACCTCCCTGACAGGAACAATCACGCTCTTCCCCACATTAACTTTCAAGCCAGAAACAGCCTGAAAGCAAACCAACACACATCTCAGATACCTTAACTGAGACACCTCTGCCTCACAAAAAACGATGGTGTCATCCGCAAAAAGTAAATGAGAGGTCTCCAACTGCTGAGCTGAGCCAGGGCCAATCTTGAAACCCCTGATAAAACCCAACTCTACCGCCCTTCTCATCAACCTACTAAGAGCCTCCATAACAATGATAAAAAGGAAAGGGGCAAGAGGGCCCCCCTGCCTCAACCCACGAGAACTGCTGAAGAAACCCGAAGGAGATCCATTCACCAACACCGAAAACCTGACAGTGGAAACGCATGAAACAATCCATTTCCTCCATTTCTCACCAAAGCCCATCCTCTCCAACAAATGGAACAAAAAATTCTAGCAGACATGATTATAGGCTTTCTCGATATCTAGCTTACAAAGAACACTAGGAGCCCCACTACAAAGTCTAGCATCCACGCATTTGCTCGCAATAAGGGCAGAATCCAGGATCTGTCTACCCCCAATGAAAGCATTCTGAGACTTAGAAATAACTCCATCCAGGACCTCCCTCAATCTAAAGGCAAGGACTTTTGCGATGAGTTTGTAGATGCACCCAATCAGACTAATAGGTCTAAAATCCTTGATATTAGAAGCGCCACCCTTCTTAGGAATAAGAGTAATAAAAGATGCGTTAAGCGATTTCTCAAACCGCCCCGTGGAATTGAACTCATGAAAAGTGCCCATAATCTCATACCGAACCACCTCCCAGCTCTCCAACAAAAATCTCATCGTGAAACCATCAGGGCCTGGAGACTTATCACCATTGCAACTCTTTAAAGCACTTCAGCACCTCCTCCTCCGAAAAGGGACTTTCCAACCCATCCCTTTCCAAAGCAGATTTGGAATCAAAGTGAAGGCCATCAAGACATGGCCTCCAACGAAGAGGCTCAGAATACAGCCGTTGGTAGAAAGAGACAATACCTCTTCGCACCTCCTCCTCCGAAGTCAAGACCGAACCATCCACACACATCCGCCCAATATGATTACTCCTCCTATGAGCATTAGCAATTCTATGAAAAAACTTCGTATTCCGGTCTCCCTCTTTAAGCCACAATGCCCGAGATTTCTGGCGCCACGAGATTTCCTCCAAAAGAGCAAGCTCCGCACATTCTGCCTGACAAGCTGCTCTCCTACTACGTTGAGAATCAGAAATGACACCCTCCCCTTCCAATCTATCAATCTCAACAATAACAGCCAAAGCCCTATTCTTCCTCCACACCAAACTCCCGAACACCTCCTTATTCCACCTTTTAAGTTTATTTTTCAGGAGTCGAAGCTTTCCTGCAAGAATATGGCTCAAGGTACCCACCATCAGGTTCTCCTCCCACCAAGAGTGCACACATTCCTGGAAATTATCCGCACGAAGCCACATGTTCTCAAATCTGAAAGGAGTGCTGCGAGATCTCAAGCCTCCACAATCCAAAACTAAGGGAATGTGATCCGACGTCACCCTAGCCAAACCAGCCTGAACAACGTCCGGGAACTTCTCCTCCCATTCACCGGAAGTCAAAAATTTGTCAAGGCGAGAGAAAGTTGGAACTTCCCTTCCACTGGACTAAGTGAAGGAAGCTCCCTCAAGAGGGAGATCAATAAGCTGGTGGCCATCAATAAAGTCAGAAAAGTGCATCATAGCCTGAGTCCACGGACCATAAGTAGATCTCTCCGCCGGGGATCTAACCACATTAAAGTCTCCTACTACACACCAAGGAAGAGACCACCTCCCTTTCACCCCACTCAACTCCTCTCACAAACCATCCCTCACACCATCGTCAACCAGCCCATACACCCCAGAAAAACCCCAAGAGAATCCATCCTCCTCCATCACAAAGGCACATGATAGAGAAAATCTCCCTCTGCAAACATCCACCTTTGCCAACCATCTCCTATCCCACATGATAAGGACACCTCCTGAGGTCCCGACAGCATCCAGCGCCTCCCACTCGACAAACCGGTTGCCCCACACGCTTTTCACCACATGATCAGACATAGAATCAACCTTTGTTTCTTGAAAACACACCAAGTGCACCCCCCATTTCCTCACCGCCATCTTCACCACCCTTCGCTTGCCTGGATCATTTAGATCACGGACATTCCATGATAAAATTCGAAGCTTCATGAGGAAACAATCACCCCCTTGCCCCCCTTACCCCTCCCTCCTCCCTTAGTATTACCCCTCTCCTTCACCACCCACCCAGCCCCCAGCCCCCCCCCCCCCCCCAAATCACCCGATCATAATTCTCCCTTAGCATTGTCCCTTTTCCATATTTACTTTTGTTAGTCATACATGCTCTATAGAATAGAATAGTGAACCAAAAAGAAAAGTACTCGATGGAATAGTTGTTCACTTCTTTCGTCGTCATCTTGCATCATGTGTTTTTGTTTGCCTCTGTCTGCTTGATTGATTTTACTTTTATTTTTTTCTTCCAGATTGAAGTTTTAGATTAAAAAAATTGTGTTTTTATATCTAGTCTGCTCCTTCTAGCACCCTCGATTATCGGTGAGCGCACTGGGTAAATGACCTTTATTTATTTATTTATTTTGCGAACTTGGAGTACCAAATGGAAATAAAATAATGGGTTGAAGAATGTGAAGATATGCATCTGCTTGTCATTTATAGAAGTTCAAATGAGATGATCTGGATGGTTAATTGGAGAAAGACGAAGAAATACACTTGTGGATGGAGATTATGTGCTCACCAATACAAGGTTTGAGACATGTCATACGGTTGTGACATGGTGAAATCATGGAAGATGATTTGTATAGGGAGCACTATTTTCCAATTGATGGACAAGAACTTGTGATTTTTAATAGCGGCAAGACACTCTAGAACACTAAGGACTTGATTTTTTCCACTGAGGCGCTTTCTCGTTAATAAGAGTGAGAACATCTCTTGCCTCTTTATGAAATAATTTCAATGGTATACTGTATATGTTGTAAAAAATCTGCACCTTATCCACGCTTCTCCATATAGTTCTATGACTTTTGTATGGAACCCCTGGCTGGGATTTGTACAACTTAAAGAATTGGTGAATCTGGTTTGACTTCTGAAATTTGATTAAATTCCTCATTTACTCAGGTTGGGA